TGTATGTATTTGACAGAGAGACAGCGAGAGAGGGAACACAAGCAGGGGGAGTGGGAGAGGGAGAAGCAGGCTTCCCGCTGAGCAGAGAGCCCAGTGTGGGGCTCGATCCCAGGACCCTGGGATCATGACAGGAGCCGAAGGCAGACACTTAATGACTAAGCCACCCAGGTGTGCCCCCAAATTTTTAATTTAATTTTATTATTATTATTTAAAGGTTTTACTTATTTTTTGTTCGAACGAGCGCACAAGCAGGGGGAGTGTCAGGCAGAGGGAGAAGCAGGCTCCCTGCTGAGCAAGGAGCCCGATGTGGGACTCAATACCAGGACCCTGGTATCATGACCTGAGCCAAAGGCAGATGCTTAACCAACTGAGCCACCAGGCATCCCTTTACTATATTTACTTTTTAGTAAGATCATTCTGGTGTGATTGATGGGGCTCTCCGTAGGCAGGTAGTACAGGGAAGTAGTCTATTGGAATAAACCTGAAGAGAAGTGTCGACCTGAACTAAGGCAGTGGCAGGAGGAATGAAGGGGAGATACAGATTTGAAGTGGTAAGGGGATAAGATGTGTTTGGTTTTGAAACTGTTCAGTTCAGTTTGAGATGCCTGTAAGACGTCAAAATGGAAATTGTTTAATATATACATACGGATTTCAGGGGAGGTCTGAGCTGTAAATAGGACTTTGGAAATCATGAGCGCATAGGTGGTGTTTGAGGTCCTAAATGTGGATGAGATCATCTAGGGAAAATATGGAGGGTTTCGAAATGATGAAGGCCAACAACTAAGGGCGTAGGTAAAGAAAGGAGCTTGCAAAAAAGACTGGAGAGGAATAACCATGAAAGTAGGGAGAAAATCGATTGTGGGTATGAAGGGAATTGATGGTCTGGAGGCCACATGCAGTAGATGGGACAAATAAAGTCAAAACTGAAAGGGCCCATTGACTTAAGAAGTGGATGATCAACAGATACCTTTATTTTTTATTTATTTGGTTTTTTTTTGTTTTGTGTGGGGTTTTTTGGTTTGGGTTTTTTTTGTTTGTTTTTAGAGAGGAGGAGAAAGAGAGAGGGAGGGAGGGAGGAGGGCAGAGGGAGAGGGGGAGAGAGAGAGAGAAAATCTTAAGCAGGTTCCATGCCCAGCGTGAAGCCCAGTGTGAGGCTTGATCTCACAACCCTGAGATCTTGACCTGAGCCGAAATCAAGAGCTGATGCCTAACCCACTTGAGCCACCCAGGTGCTCCCAGATACCTTTAAAGAGAACAATTTCAGTGGAGTACAGAAGTCAGATGCTGGGCATTGAGAAGAGAAGGTGGGAAGAAGTACAACCAGGTAAGTGTAGACCATTCTTTTAAGGAGGCCAACTTGACCAATGGAGTGGGGAAGGTAGCTAAAATGAAGCACAATTATGTCCCTACTTACTGAAAACCTTCAGTGGTTTTTTCACTGATCATAATGTAAAATTCAGATTCTTATGTGGCTCACAAGAACACATGGTCTGCCTCCCCATATGCCTTTCTTCCCTCTTTCCACTGGTTCTGTTCCTTGAAATGTATGTGTCCATTCTTCCCTGAGGGCCTTCATAATTGTAGCTCTCTCTGCCTTAGCACAACTTCTACCACTGTTTTCCCCATTAAGTACCTCCTACTCCTCCCAGAAGTCTCACTTCCTTAGTGGGGGGCCTTCCTGTCCCTCCCTTGCAGGATATGATCCCCTGTTACATACTCCACAGTGTTCCATGACTTCCCCTTTCAAAGCATTGTGTTGGATGTAATGCGCAGTAGATTATTTAGGGAACACAAATTTGCATTAAGCTAAACCACTATTACTTGAGTAGGGGAAAAGTGCTTAAGTGGGCTCTCTGCTTTGTCACAAGATTGGGTGATATTTGTTTTTTGTTTTTTTTTTTTTTTAGCAGTGCTAATTGGATTAGGAAAAGAAAGGCTTTGCTCTTGGGCAAAAACTAGTTATAACTACAAGTCGGGCTTGCTTAGTGGTGTGAGAACTTTTACTTTATACCTTACTGAAATTCTTGCAGGAAAGGAAAAATGAATTGATCATTTTGAGTCTGAAACTCTTTGGCCTCTTACTCCGTTTTATCCAGTTTTGAACAGTTGCTTTTATAACATAGCTTTTGATAATAGGAGGTTTCTTGGGAATAAATTATGGGGTCAGAGGAGAACAGACTATGAATCTTCTGCACTGTCTCATCAGAACTTCATGCAGGCAGTTCCAATGCCTTGTGCAGTGTCAGGCACTTAGTGGGTGCATGATAAATATTTGTTGAATAATGACTTCTTACCAGAGAAGGGTGACTTGATATGTTTTCACGGGGGAGGGAGGGAGGATTAGCCTAAAGAGAGAGGTTGGAAGTTGAAGAAATAGAAGGGATTACTGTTGGTGCCAGAAACCTCGAAAAACAGGTGCTGATGGGAGCAAGAGCACACAGATGGAAGAACTGGCCTTGAAAGGGTACAACTGGCAGAAGTGAGATTACTGGAAAATTCTAATTTGGTTTGACTGACTAATGACATTAATGTAGTCTCAGGTTAACTGCTTTTTGAGAAATGTTCATGATTGCTTTTTTGCCTTTAGTCACTGCTGATTGCTGTCTGAATCAGGCTGGGGCATGAGAAGGGCAGAGAAAGAATGAAGTTTTGTGAGCTTTCAGGGAAGGGAGTAAAACTGTAGGGAAATGGCAAAGAAAAACCCATGGAATAATGTTTCTAGTAAATGGTGGCTCAGAAAGAATTGGTTGACTAATCAGAGTTTAGGAACCATGAAACTCTTAACTGGTCATTTTTCTTTATTAGAAATTTGTAGTTCAAATACTGTCAGCATAGGAGCCATTTGTGAGTCAGCTAAGTTTTAGAAGTAGGGTATGAAGAGAAGTCCATTTTTCTAGTATTTATAGTGGGGAGCCATAGGATAAACCAAAGCTTTCTTACTCTAAACAACTTCCTTTGCAGTGTGTACTACACATTGTCCTACAATTGTTTAATCTTAGGGTTTGGGGTTTCACATGGTTGCATGTGCTCTTGCTATACAGACTCCTTGAATTTCCTTGAAAATGGCCTGCTTTCTCGCACTTTGGATAGTTTTTACATATGTTGGATGTGTTCTGTGCTTTCCTTATCTACCTAGGAAACCTCTTCAAGACTAGCCTCTGGTCTTCTTAGGCAAAGTTATATGATTCCTGAACCCTCTATATTCTTTTATTAGACTATGAATCACATCGTTTTATAACTACTTGTGTGTCTAGCTCTTTGAGGGGTGCTTTGTTTTTCTTTGTTTCCCCACCATTTGCCTGTAGTTCTGAGACATACACTAAACAAAAGAATACTGCTCCCCTTTTATTTTTTTTTAAAGATTTTATTTATTTATTTGACAGAGAGAGACACAGCGAGAGCGGGAACACAAGCCGGGGGAGTGGAAGAGGGAGAAGCAGGCTTCCCACAGAGCAGGGAGCCCGATGCGGGGCTCGATCCCAGTACCCTGGGATCATGACCTGAGCCGAAGGCAGACACTTAATGACTGAGCCACCCAGGCACCCCAATACTGCTCCCCTTTTAAAATGTCAGCACCTTGGGGTGCCTCGCTGGCTTGGGGAGCATGTGACTATTGATCTCAGGGTTGTGAGTTCAAGCCCCACATTGGGTATAGAGATAAAAATCTTAAAAATAAATAAATAACATGTCAGCACCTTGGTTTATTCCAGCCCCCTCATTCACAGCTGAGGCGATGCCTGTTCGACATGAGGTTGGGACTTCTGTAAGGTTACCACCATATCCAACAGTGACACAGATGGGACCCAAATTTAGTCCTTATGATTCTCATTTCTGTGTTATCCCAATTTGCCAACGTGACTACTTACATTGCTTTCTCCTTAAGATTTACTTGAGATTAATGACACGGAGAGAATCATTTAAATTTTTCATAGCAAGGAGAGAACGGAATGTGTTACAATAGGTGGGGTCATTTGGGGATTGGAGGCCTTTAAAACAGTATATGGGATCCATGGATTAGACTGGAAAGTGACTTCCAAGTCCCCTGAAACTGTATGCTAAATTGTGTGTATGTGTGAGTGTATTTGGGTATTTTGTTTCTAGGTGATTTCATAGCTTTTGTTCTCATATGGATCTCTCTGACTCCTCAATAGGTAAGGACCTGCTTTAAGGGAAAGCAGCCTTGGGAATGGTGCCCCAATAGAGAATATATAACTAGAAATTCTAACTCTGTTTTACCTCTGATGTATGTTCTGTAGTTACTGATACCTGCCTGCAATTGTGGAAATCCAGACAGTCACGTTTGTCCTCTTGCCTTTCTAGCTTGCCTTTTCGATTTCTTTTTTTTTTTTTTTTTTTTTTGGATGGTCAAGGGTAGCAGGAGAAAGAATCTTAAGCAGGGTCCACAGCCAGCATGGAGCCTGATGTGGGGCTCCATCTCACAACCCTGAGATCATGAACTGATCAAGATTCAGACGCTCAACCAACTGAGGCCAC